CCATTGAATCATCTGCAATTCAATGAAAGACACATGCAGTCGAGGCTTAGGGGCTGTCATGCGTGTCTTTGTAACAGCCAAACAAATAACTCACATAAAGCCTTCCCCAGAAAAAAAATCAAGTCCCATAGGAGAGGAGTAATGAGACGAAATGAGAATTGCCTCAGCTGAGAAGGTGATTTAAGACTCCATCACACACCGCACATGACAGCCTTGCAGAACAGAGAGCACCACAATCGGTGCCTGAGACACCACCTTCTGTGCCCAAGAACAGAAATCCCTTTGTTGGTTGGCACTGAGGACTTGTAGCTTCAAAATGTGATTTTAAATCTGGGTTGGGGACAAGGCAAATGTGAATTTGATTCTGTTTGGGCCTCCCACCCCAAACAGCAACAATCAAGCACCAATGCTGATAAGCTAAATGTTATTAGGCAAGAATTTTGCCTTTGAAATCCACCTACGTCCAGAACTGAGAGACAACAGCTTTAAGTCATTTTTTTCCCCCCTCTACAAGTAGGGCATTCCCTGTTGAAGGGCCACTCTGAAACATACTCCCAAATCCCTGTTTGGCCACACACTTGGATTTCTTTTTAGAAAAGAAACTAGAGAAAGGGAGAAGGGCAGGGAAGGAAGATGGAAAGGACCGCGTGCTCTGGCCTAACCCTGACAAGACATGGGACACAGGCTGGGTACAGTCCCAGATCTCACAATTTAGATAAGCATTAGTTATCTGCCTGCACGGTCAATGAACTTTGTGTCTCATACTGTACAATAGATTAGCACCCAACAGACGAGCTGAAGCTTTCTGACACAACAGCTTCAGCATTGACTATAACCAACTTTTGGCACCCACGTAGAAGTTTACTCCTCTGATGTGGAAAGCACCAGCTGCCTCACCCACTCCCCTCAAAACAGCTGGACACCCAGCACTCCCTGGAAGAAAAGTTATATCAACTCCCTGTCAGACACTGGCAAGTGCAGAGGCACACCAGCTTGACTTTAGCCCCCCAAAAAGAGCTGGGGAGGTTCAGGTCAGGACAGAAGTGCATCAGGAAAGCTGGGGAACGATGGCCAGATTTGGGTGGTGTGCTGCATACATTGGGTGGCAGAGGGGAAAGTGTCAAATCCCCAGCTAAGCCTCTCCAAGTATGGCAGAGGGTCTTGAACATCATTCCAAGCTACATCTTTGAGGGGGATCCAGCTGCAGGACAGGGCAAGCACACAGAGATGTAAAGAAGTTGCCTCTGGGTTGCACTCATGGCTTTGGTTTGTTTTGGCAGTAGCAGAGAAGCCAGCACCGTACACCAATGTGATCATGCCCAGTCTCTTCAGCATCATCTGTTTCCTGGGCATTGTGGGGAACCTCATTGTCATCTACACTATCGTCAAGAAGAAGAAGCTGAGATGCAAACAGACTGTGCCCGACATTTTCATCTTCAACCTCTCCATTGTGGACCTCCTCTTCCTCTTGGGTATGCCTTTCCTCATCCACCAGCTCCTAGGTAATGGCTCCTGGTATTTTGGAGCTCCCCTATGCACCATCATCACTGCCCTAGACACCAACAGTCAGATCACCAGCACCAACATCCTTACAGTGATGACACTGGACCGTTACCTGGCGACTGTGTACCCTCTAAAATCTACCTACGTCCGGACCCCATGTGTTGCAGCTCTAGTTATCTGCTTGGTGTGGCTCCTGTCTTTCCTGACCATCATTCCTGTGTGGATGTATGCAGGTCTTATGCCTCTGGAGGATGGGACTGTCCGCTGTGCTCTCTTGCTTCCCAACCCAGAGACTGATATCTACTGGTTCACCCTTTATCAGTTCATGCTGGCATTCGCTGTGCCATTGATTGTGATCTGTGTGGTCTATTTTAAGATCCTCCAGCACATGGCCACCACTGTGGTCCCATTGCCTCAAAGGAGCCTCCAGGTACGTACCAAGAAAGTCACCCGCATGGCAGTTGCCATCTGCTCTGCTTTTTTTATTTGTTGGGCTCCCTTTTACATCCTCCAGCTGGTTCACCTCGGCATTGACACACCATCCATGGCCTTCTTTTATGCCTACAACTTTGCCATTAGCTTGGGCTATGCCAACAGTTGCCTCAACCCCTTCCTCTACATTGCCCTCAGCGAGACCTTCAAGCGCCAGTTCTTAGTGGCCATCCGCCCCGCAAAAGAGCCATGTCGCAACAGCAGCTCTGTCAACAACAACAGCACAACAGAAGCTAGTGTATGTCTAAAACTGGCACCAGAATCCACCCAGCAGACTCAGTTTCTGGAGGACTTTTCCCCACGTTCACTGCCCATGACTGTTCACTAGGGCACTCTGAAGTGACCGCAGCAAAAAGCCTTCAGATCTGTAAGTTGATGGAGAAGCAGCCGCCTCAGGCAATTCTTGGTGAAGCATACGAACTGCAAACTTCCACCTCCAAGAGTCTTCAAGGTGCCTCCCTTTTTCATTGCAGGGCTCTGCTCCTGCACCGCCCTTGGCCTATGAGATGCTGCGTACTGCTGCTTCTTTCCACTCCTGCACGGGAGGACTCTATCACACAAGACACTGAGCCCTCCAAAAGGATGGATGGAAAACAGAGAGAGAGGACAGAAAGAGGATTTCAAGGGCGAATGTGCACCCTGGAAGAGTAAAAACCTCTGCCAACAACACTGCCCAGTGATTCGCTGCCTCTTGGCCTGACCAGGGTTCCTAAGCAGCATGCCAATACAGAGCTTTTTCATTCAAAACTTGAACCTTTGAAACACAATGTCATATATTTATTTTCGGTAAGATGTCTGACCTGCAAACTTTGATGGCTGTGCTCATATCCTAGAAGCAAATAGAAGAGAGAGATCTTGGGGCCAGAAGTCTCACATAGGTCTGCCACTTGGCTTTTCGGTCCAGCCCCGTCTGCCTCCAGCGGGCTGTATCGTTTGGCAACCAAGATATTTTCAAGAACTGGCTAATTTCAATGCTAATCCTAAATATTTCAAGCAAAATCAGGCAGATAACAATTGCACTGCTTCAAGGGACTGCAAACAATTCTCAAAACTGCTGCTGCTGCTAACACCAGCTTTGTGGCTTTTCACGCCAATGAGCCGATTTTCCCACTGCTCGTTCCTCATGCTGCTCTTGTGCCTCGCAGTCTGCACGGCCATCGGGGAACCCCAGGCAGAGGGTTTTAAACATGACTGAAAAACCAATGTGCAGAGTTCTGTGGAGCGAGGAGATGTGCTTATGCAGCTTCCTCAAAATAACTAATGCTTTACAAAGTTAAAAGAGGGAAAATTAGATGTCTGTGTTTTGTATATGCAGCTTTAATAGTTGTGGATTAGAAAATAACTTTGCTCATTACAAAGACTAGAGAAAAGACAGCACAGATCAGCTAAACGTGGGGGATTACACTGATAGCCTGCACAGGGCTCCCAGGGGACCGTGCAGGCATTGTTCAACACTTTGTCAAACACGGAGGAACCGGTTACTGTAGGTGAATTTAATATAAAGAGGAATTAAAAACATCAAACAGCACAAAAGAATTTATTACCGTGCTTATGGTTTCATGCCACCAACCACCCACAATATATCCAGAATAAAAATTCACTCTTACACAGCTACACAGCAAAACCGTGCCACCTGCACAGGACTTCCCAAGCCACAGACGCACTTAACGGTGCACCTAATGCACACACACCACACTCGTGGGTGTTTTTAAGAACAGCCAATACTTCACCCTGCAGAGAACACACGGCCGTTCACTCACCTCTGGCAATCAAAGCAGGCTGGTGTGCAGCACCGGCACTTTTGACATCATCGGATGCGGCGCATTGCTTTTTGAGTCACTGAATAAACCTCATAACAGGGTCTCTCTCTGTATTTTCATTCCAGGCTCTGTCAACCCGCACCCCTCACAGCAGCACATCCACATTGCAACTGCACAGTATCTTGTCAATTTTTTTGCCCCCGTTTCCCTGGGCGGTAAAGCCAGACAGACACACACGGAGCTTTCAATCTTTATGACTTGAAAAAATCTTTGCCCCATTTTAACTGCCCGGAATTTTCACCTGTGCTGGTTTTCATGGAGCTGCTTTGCTCTTTGGTCAGTACTTTCCCCGAAAGGCTTGGGAGCGAAGGTCGAGGAAGATGTATGCTGTGCCAAGCCAGACTTGCTCTCAGGACAAGGGAAGCTATTGTGTTACCTTTCTCCCATAAGGAAGTTAGGGGAGGACTGGCACGCTTCTCTGTGAAAGGGGGTGGCAATGGTTGGGTGGGTTTTTTTCCTCCTTTAATAGCAGCAATGAGGAAAGTATGAGAGAAGTGAAAACAGACTGAACCATCCGGGCTCTCAGAGAGCAGCACGTTGAAGATATTATCTTGCTTACAGTAAAGGTGTTTATGGTTGAACTAGTCTCTTCCCGTCGTGAGTGAGTCAGTCTGACCCAGTGTGGCCAAGGCACGTGCTAAAAACCCCGGGGGCACCGTGGGCTAACCAAGAAGGGCGGTCAGCACCAGCTGGTGCAACACTGGAAAGGGTCTTTGTGGGGTAGACCTTTTCCAGATCTCATCACACTGAAGTCAAGGCACAGTACACAGGCATCTTCCCAGGTTGAAGTCCTTTCAGATCTCATTTACGTGAGCAGGAAAGCCATGCTGGAGAGACCTGGTCCCAACATCAGGGACAAGACTTCCCATTTAGCTGGTGTCCCAGCAGAGGCATCTGCCCCTTCCCACCACCCTGCAAAGGCTCATGGTTTCCATTCTCTCATGGTCCTCTTGCCTGTCCCCAAGAGGTTTCCTACTCCAGATATCTATGTGCTGGCCGTGGGGTCCCCTCCCTTTCCATATACACCCATAAAAGCTGTGGCAAATGCACCTTGGGAAGACAAGGGTGTGGATACCTGTGGATGTGCTGGGAGGTTGGGAAGAGAGGTACAGACAAAGGAAACGAGCAAAGAACACAGGCCACTTTTCGCCATTTTCCCTAAATCACCCCAAAGCACGGGCCAAGATGAACAAAAGCCTCTCCTTTGAACACAAACCTTTTGATCAAAGGCCTTCAGAGGTGTCCCCCTACCTAGGAGGTAAGGTAAGGACTTCCAGTAGCTATACAGTCTCTGTGCACCTTGGTGTGATTCCAAACATCCAGCCACTTTTCCCTATTTTTCAGAGCTGGCTTTGTTAAGATGGAGAGCCTGTTGATGTTCTGCTTTGTGTTCAGCTTTACCTCTTTGTCTATTCTGCTCTTTGTATTTATTACGTGATCTTCTGTCTCAGTGCCTCGGTTACTGATTGCAGAGCCTGAATAAAAGGCATCACTAAGTAGAAGAGGACACAGCTACTTGTGCAGAGATAGGCAGCTGAAGTGCTGCGAGGTTCGTCTGAAAGGTGCGGTGAGAAGGGCACAGAGATAACGCAGCAGGTTTCCCCGCAGTCCTGCCTCCCATACGCAGCCCGTTGTCTCTCTTGCTTGAGAGAAACTAAGGGAAATCCAACTAAATAACCAGGGGGGGAAACACCCCCAAAACCAAAGAGTGATAGAAAGAAACTATTCCATCTAGTTGTTCGGATCAACAGCCTGCCACACTGGGTGAGACAAATTTGCTGGGATCCTTTTGCCAGAGCTTTTCCCGTGTGTTTGCGAGCTGCCTCGTCAGACAGCAGGAAGACAGATGGGTTCACTCTCCACCCCCTCCTCGTCCTTAGAGGTGCAACTGAAGCTACATGTCACAGCTCTGCTCTTCATAAACTCCCACAAGGGGCAGATGGTCCGGTTACTTTTACTCCTACTTTCCCAGCTAGCGACAGAGCCCTCTTGGCTGTCAGTCCCTGGATCACCCTTCTCACAGTTACTGCTTTTCCACTATGCAGATCCCCATGTCCGCACTGGGCCGTAAAATATACTCCTGCCTTCCCCACAGTCACAGCTCTGCCAAGCCAGCCCGAAGGACAAGCTGGAGCTGAGGTCCCCAAAGCCCTGCCAGGCGGCAGGCTGGTGACATCCTTCCCCAGACACCCTTCTCCACCTGAAGTCTCTGCACAGCTAAACCTGCCCAGGAACAAGCTGCAGCCGCGATGGAGAGTGAGCACAACGCTGGTGGCTGCTGGGTGGGGAGGAGGGAAAGGTGGGGTGACTCACTGGCCCCTGGGACACAGCCAGAACCTGACTAATGCCTTTCATCAATCCTCCCGAGTTGCTAATTGGATGCATTTCATTCAACACACTCACCGGTGGGAGAAGAGCCACGAGGCAGGTACAGATATGTTCCCAGCCCACTCGCTTTGCATCAGTCCTCCTGCCAGATGCAGGGACCACACAGCAGTGCCCTTCCTCACTCACCTCCCGCTAGCAAAGCAGCACAGCTAAACCCTCACACCCCCCTGCAGCCTTTCCACTTGCTCCATCCCTGCTGCGGGGCTGGGGAGGGGACAGCACACAGGAAAATCTCATGAAGAGTAAAGGGGGAGGGATGGCTCATCTACAGCCCCCATTTCCCACCGTACCTCTCGCAGACGAGGGCCCTTCGGTGCCTCCAACAGAAGATGTATTTTGAAGCTGTATTTACAGGGCAGCATTTGAACAGGGAACTCACTGCGCCACTGGAGGGAAAACCAAGACCCCTGTTGCAGGAGGGCATAAGAGATGAGACCTGCTCTTAGACTCTTTGTGCCCTACCCATATCCCATTTGGGAAACAGCTCTTACTATTGCACAGGACCCAATAGTAGTTCCTCTCACAGCATCTTTTTACCAGTATGGTTGCACTGGCCACAGAACTCATCACTCCTGATCTCCCAGTCTGGCTCATGGAAGGGCAGCAGCACTGGCTTCTCTTGAAGGGTAGAGCTGGGCTTCAACAACTGCAAAGTTAACGCTTGAGAAGCGGCTTACTTCAGTATGAGACATGATGGTGCACAGAGTGGTGCTTTCATAAGCAATTCTGGATGTGCCGAGGACAAGCATGTCAGAAAAGCCTCCAGGGTTGTCCGCTCAGTACCTTTCACCATCTCTAAATGCTACCAGAGTCATGTCAACACTTCCTAAGCTCAAGCCTTTGTATAAAGGATTCCTCCCCCAAAGTCAGACTACATCAGCATCGCCCTCCTCAAGCACAGCAGCAGAACACCACAAGCACCACTGAAGGCTCAAGGCCCCGTCCTGCAGGTCCATACAGGGTCAGTCCCCTGGAAAGGAGAGTCGAGTTCTGCCCATCACACCAGGCTGAGCTTCAGTTCGCACCACAGAAGTCAGTGGGTTTTTGGCAAAACAGGGAGCAGACTCTACCCCAGGTACCGACTGCACCATCATCCAGCACCGCATGAGAAAAGGAGATCTGCATGGTCTGGGCTCCACACTAATGCCTTTGGGGCAGTGACTTTGTGAGTTTCAGTTAAGCAGTGACACACACACAGGTTTTGGTTTGGGCCTTAAACCTTATTTCTTCCACTTAAAACTAAGTTAACAGATGAGTCAGCCCTTCCTTCCAACCTGTGCTCTTGTCCCCTGCAGGTTTCCACTCGCAGGGTAGGCAGGCTGAGAGTCAGTGACATAATTTTAATTATTTTGCTGTTTGGTTATTATTAAGTTGCCTTTGCTAACTCTGAAGTAGCTCTTACGACTATCTTCCTACACGTGCTGCTGTAAGCACAACAGCTTGGTGACACCAGGCTGCCGTGCCCTGCTCCACCTTCAGAGGAGGACACTTCAGACACTTCAGAGGAGAAAGCAGAGCTCTCCTTAGGCTGCTGCAGCAAGGAGAAGACTCCTGCCTTGTCCAGGAGCTGTGCTTCTCACACCCATGTCCCACTGCAGGCTCAGGGATGCAGTCCTCTACCTTTTCTCCCATGGGGCTTGACCACAGAAAGCCAAACACTAACATTTTTGCACACATTTTGGCACAGAGCACTCGATAGGGATAAGCATGGTGATGGAAACAGTGAGTGAAGTTATCACTGATGAGAGCTTCTTAAAGCTATTATTGACTTAATCCATTAGGAGGTTGGTTCTTGGAGGTGCAGCTTCTCCAGCAGCCAGGTCCCTCCCACCGAGAAATGGAAACAAGTTTGGAAAGGAGCAGACTCTCCCTATCAGGGTTCCCTCTGTCCTCTTTCCTCTCTGCTCATGAATGAAGACTTTGGACTTCAACTTGCACAAAGCATTTTGGGGATTTAATTCACCCCCTCCCCCCTTTTTTTTTTTAAAGGTCAAGTCATTACAACCTCCCAGACCATAATCCCCAACTTAGACCTCCAAGTGCTCTGGCAATGTAAATTTGTCATGTTATCAACACAGAAACTGCTTCAGAAGAGAACGAGAGTAAAATGTCACCTCTTGGAGTGAGAGCAAGTTGCCTGTCCTTTGCTTTTATTCAAGTCCAGATACTTTTTCCCAGCCAACCGCTGCCACTGAAGAAAGCACATAAACATTTGCTCCTGGGCTGAGACGCGCTGTGCCAAGCCACGGCCCCCAGCCAGTACTGACACAATCTCTACGTTTAAGAACACAAACGCTGGCAGCTCAATGAGCAGGGACCAGTTTGCTGGAATGAATATTCAGTCTTTCTGCAGCATGGGAAACATCAATTGTTTGGTGTGAAATAAATTACACGTCTTTCTTGGGGGGATTTTAATGAGACCTCCCCCCTCTTTTCCTGACACTCTCAGACTAGGAGTAAAAGAAAAAAAGGAAAACAACATTCCAACGTCTCTCCATCAACCCTGCATCATAATGGCCCAATCAGGGTAATTAGGATGTCTCATGTGTGTTCAGGGAGGCTTTACCCAGCAAACCCAGCCCGCTGCTCATTATATTGCTGCAGCATAGCTAATTACTCCTGGTTTTAGAGGGAAGGGGAGCACACCAGCTTCGTATGCAGTTGGGAAAAAGGGCTGTGCTGAGTACAGTCAGGTTTTGGCTTTACCTTTACCTACTAGAAGATCTCCTGGTATGCTGAAGGCTACAGGATGGGAGGAGAGGCTGGTCTGGGTGGTTAGTACTTAGAAGAACCAGTGTAAGAACCTACACACCCCCAAGACCCCTTTATTTATCTTCAAACTTCTTTGGAGCAGAAGGGCAGCCAGACACCTTCCCCGCGGCCCCAGTGCCAGCCTGAGCACACGTGAGAGCAGAGAAACGTGCATGCAGAAAACGGAGACCCCTCCCCACCGCAGAGACTCTGGGAAGCCCTTTGGGGCAGGAAAGCGTCACACCCTGCCATGGCACAGGACACAAACGGGAACCTTTCCCAAGGCTTCTGGGAGCTGGATGTGCACCTCTCCATCTCCACACCTTTCTACACTAGCTGCCACGGGCACAGCCACAATTCTCTAGGTGTGCATCCACGTTCAGGCTGGCAGACCCTAACGAGCCCCTCTACCATCAGGTTTATGGAGCCCCAACAGGAATCCCATCACAGAGAGAGGCGCTCTGGGACCATTTGTAGCCCATCTTGCAGCCACTGGCTACCACGTGAGTCCCTCACAGCCCACATCTCCACACCAGCAGCCTGATTTATCATCTTTCCTGCTCACGCGGCACTGTGTCCGAGCTCAGGCTTGCTAGGAATGGATTAGAGCTCTATTGTTGATACCCTGCTATTTTCTCATTTCCAGATTTGGGTAAAACACATAGCAAAAGCGTTGGTGTATGGATGTGAGATAAGGGAGGACAACACTGTTGTCTCAATCAGGGCTGCACTGAGCTGGTCACATAGCTGCACAGCGAGACTTGACCCAGTTTACACCAGTGTCTATTTCTTCACAAATATTTGCAGACAGGCCTAGCAGGTAGACTCAGTCCCTTGTTTCGTGGCTGTCTGCCCTTTTCTTTCTTGCTGCCTTAGTTTCCTCAAGCCTAGAGAAATTTCTTTAGCAACAACAATTCCCAACTCACACCTTTGTGAAACTTCATAAGTTATCATCTGTGCTTGTAGAGGAAAGACTTGAAAGACTGAACAGGAGGAGATGATAAACCAAGCTGTAAACATAGAAGCTGTGATGGACACCACTGAAAATCCACCGGAGGCAGACACGGGGCAGATGTGGACCAGACTCCAAGCACTCCGCTGCGTTTCCATATCACATCCCCCTT